AATAATTGGAAGCATTAGCAAAATCTTACCATCACTCTTTTTAAACCAGAGCCAACTACAAGGACGTGGTGATGAATTGTTTTTTTTTGTACTTTTTAATTTATAAAATTTTTTTAATGGAATTTTTTTTTATATTTTCATTTTTTTTAAATTATCATTTTTGCATACATCTTTTTTATGATTTTTTTTTAGTATTTTGTAATTTTTTGTACTTTTTAATTTATTTATTTTTTTTATTAAATTTTGTAATTTTTTGTTTGTATCTTTAATCTTTTCTATCTCGTAATTTTTGTGTACCTTTTAATTTATTGTATTTTTTTATTTTTTGTAATTTTTTTTATGTACCTATTTTTATTCTATTGTATTAGACAATTTTAAACATAATAGATAACACTAAAAACTCTTGAATGTGCTTAGATGAGAACTCAACCACTCTTATTTTTTTAATCGCACCAAGTAAGTGGAATCTCTAACAATATTAATTTTATAAGCTGCGAGCCACTGTACGAGGAAAATCTTAACATGGCAACATCTCAAAAAGAGTATCGGCTGCGATTTTGATTTTTACGATTTTTCAACATTCAAGTATGTACTGCCGAAAAAATGGAGCACAATTTTCATAAAACCTAAGCTCATTGTGACTACTCTGCGGCCCTCTGTTGACAATCCTTTTTAACTTACTTCCATAAAATACATGCGACTTTTCGAAATACATATGTATATCTATTTGATTCGTCAGTGTGAGGATTCATATTGGGTTAGTGACCTTCATTTAATTACTATGCATTGCTTATCTTTGCAAATTTCCTAACAAATACAAAAACTAAAAATAAAATCATTATTTCGCAATTGCCTATCTGCATGCAAACTGCAAATTTCGCATTTGAAATTTGCTATTTATTTCAATACATTTTGCTGTTGTTGCCTATTACTCGTTTATACATACATATGTATGTATGTATATGTATGATTGCATATGCAGCATATTAACATCCATGCAACAAATGTGCAACACGACGTCCGACTGGCATGCAACCAAGCAGGAAGCACTAAGGCAACTACATACCTACATACATACATACATATACATATATGTCTGGTTTACGTTGCAAGCAGGTTTTCCCGCCTCTGTTCGTTTACCAGCTTGACTGACTCTTTGTGATCCGGTTATTTCTCCACACCTATCCATGGTCGTTCGATACGTGCAAAATAGCTTAATATTGTACATACATATGTATGTGAGTGTGTATATATTGCTTTTCTAACTCCTTTTGCTTCACAATGCAGCCAGTCGGTAGTAATACATAAATGTAATGCGTTTTTCGTTTTTTTTTTCCTGAAGTGAGTTCATAAAGCAGCAACGATAATGGCATATCGCTAATGTTATATAATATTAACCGCTATAACTACTGTTTATATACTTACAAACATATGTATACAGATACGCACATAACTTTTTTATAAATTTCGTTGAATCTGGCATATTTTGCAATTCAATTACTAATAAATGCTTATAAGTTTTCATGATTACATAAGCACGTATCCTCTTAATTTCGAATATAGGAAGCACAAAATTCCTGTAAGTAAAAATTTGCTATTATGCCTTTTCATCCACGTGCGCATGCAAAATAATTTGTGTCACAACCTACAAGCAAAATTTGCTTGCCACTTTCAACCCATCGACAATCGAATGCCTAGCTAAGTAAATGGTTTAATCCACTGCTACATTGCGCTAATCCGCCGAGGAATTTTACAAATCTTAGGAAGGTGTGCTGCACTGAAAGAAAGAATTTGTGTGAATTTTATTTGTATACATTTTCTAAGGTATTTATATACTTCGTTTTTAGCCAACAGGTCTTATCATTGGTCAGAGCCAGTTTAAGGTCGTCCGAGACCAGCAGACAAGGTTCCGTTAGTACCCCCCTTCAGTTGTTTAGCGTCCTCGCTCTTCAGGGATAGGAGAAACTTTTTGAGTTTATGTCATACGCTCTACACATAACCCTGGACACCTTGCAACCTTGCGTTTGGTTCACACTTCCTGCACCCGCCGGCTCATGGACTGGTCGAACGCCCGTTTAGTCGCTTTGAGGGAAATCGGCGCTTGCTCTATCAGCACAGTTTCCGACAAAGCGTCTTCTTTGGCAAACCTGTTGGCCTCCTCGTTGACCGCAACGCCGGTATGCCCCGGAACCCAGTACAGATGCTACCCTTCACTTCGCCACACTTCTTCTTGAGGAAGTGCTGTCCGATAGTTGCGCCTTTATCGATATAGAGATTCATCTGCTTATTTTCTAGGTTGCTGTTCTGTAGCTCCGCCGCATTCTTTATGGCCAATACTTCCGCCTGGAAAATGCTGCAGTAGTCCGGCAGCTTATAGGTTTTGTTGATATCGACCTTATATCTTTCTTTATCTTCGACCCGTTTGTGTAGACATTCAGCGCGGCAACACTTCCCAAGCCCTGACGCTAGTCGCCGACCTATATAGTGACCTCGAAGTTCGCCCCAAAATGCATATGCGGGATCATTTTGTAACTCTAAATTACAAACAAATATTGACTAATTTCGTTTGAGTATAGAAGAAAGCTCATGGTTTCATAAGACAAGATTCACAGTACTTGTTCTTACCGAAAATAGGCTGCCTCAACTGACAATCGAACTCTGTACAGTCCATTTTCGGGACCTTAACGTCTGTTCCCTACCAACCTTCCATGCCTCCAGATATTTATATATCACAATTACTCGCTTAGTACTTAAGTATAAGGTCTGTAACGTTTGGGTTTGATTAAGGGAGTTTTGAAAACACTATAGACCTAAAGTCACAGTGCGTATCATCAGTTATACCCCTCTATCCAAGCGTAGCGATGGTAAAAGTCCAATTTACTTCACATCAGCAGGCTAAGCCTCCTTTGCGGTAACCTTGCAAAAACTGCAAATGCTTCTAACAGAACTAATCAGCACCTGCAAGCCTCCTCTGTCTTAGATAAAGATTTTTAAATACCCAAGTAGTCCTTATATAGAATTAAACATTTTCCGACTGCTAAGCTGCTAATTATTCTTCGCAGTACAACTTCAGCCGTTTGGCTGGTCGCAGTTTTTCAGAAGCGCCCCTGGGGTTCTAACACAAAAAGGAAATGCATATTGAGATGGACGTGCGAAGAGTTCTTTGTACAAAGTTGTCATCGGTCAGATAACTCCGAATTAAGTTATACAATGTAGATTGAAATCATATGATGACGTCGATCAAAACTGTTGCACAATTGCAATACATTACGCGCAAACTTTCTTTCTCCCGAACACCTTGTAGTGGCTTATAAATTGCGCTTTTTGCTGGCCGTGAATTAACTTCATTGCAAATTTTTTTTCCTAAGAGAAAAATTAAAAATATCAGATGTTTAGAATACAGAGATATAGATAGAACATTTAACTACGCTTTAAATCACACTTATGATGAACTCTCCAGACCAGTGTATAGGAACGAAGTACAAGAAACAACCACAAACCTTTTCGACGATCGAAAAAAAACGCCTTAAAAATCTGCCATCATGCGGTTTTTTATAAGGCGAATAAACGTAGACCAAGTCGAAGAAAAATCTAAAGGCTTTTGGAACTTTCGAGAGGACCATTCTACGTAGAATCTGTGGACCTGGTGGAACTGTACGAGTTTTTTTAATTCCATGCACAAAATCAAACGAATCACAACAGCAGACTTGTCAAACATATGGATAACGGCACAACGGTAAAAAGATCCTAAAATTCCTTTTCGATGTGTGGACAATGAAAGCAAGGGCGCCCAGCAACCAAATGGAAGGACGAAGTGCAAAATGACCTGCCTGCATTTGGTACGAATAACCAGCGAAACTTTGCAAAGAAGAAATGCATCTGACTAGTGGGACCACTAACTTTTGTGACTATATAGTTGTAATGGCTTCAACAAAAAAAATTATGGATATACGGCCTGAGAAAAGCACTTAAAGCGAGTTACGCTTTTCTTCATGATTTACCTAGTTGGATATCTTTTTGTGATGTGTTCTATTTGTTAGTTTATTTTCATATGAATTTTATATCTCATGCAATTATATAGTTTTTAGGGTAAAATAAAATCTGCTGGGCACCTATTCGCCAAAACCACACATCAATCAGTATGATGAAAACAAATAAATACTAAAAACATTTTCTTAGAAAATTTTATCAATTAACTTTTTTAACATGTAGGTATCAGCTGTAGGGAATCCCCATCTCTATTTGCAGAAAACATTATTTGCGCAACAATTTCATTAGCTACGCGAAAAATGTGCATACTAAGCAAATACTTTACAATGACAACAAAAACATGAAGAAATAGAAATGAAAATACAAAAAAAGGCACACAAATAATTGCATATGTACGTATGTACGTATGTATAACTTTAGTAGAGCAAGTCCAGAATTTCTATTTACATATATGGGCCCCATTCATTAGAACCTACTACGATTCGTACTTAATTAAGCAAAGTGTGTAATAGAAGAGTGTTGCAAGGGGGTGGAGGAGAGTGAGTGGCACAAATGCAAGTGCAACGCGTGCCGGTTCTGAAAAGCGCACATGAATTCGATGCGATAAGCAAAGAAGTTAGATGAATTTTCTATTTGCCTTATCGCAACATTTCTCTAATTGCAGTTGGCTGCAAAAGAACCGTGAAATTGTCGACGCTTTAGTGCAAGTATTTAGACGCTGGGAAAAGTAATGACACAAATGTGATTTGCCGATTACGGCTTTGAACTGGAGGAAGACAGTGGAGTGGTTTAACTACTGGTATGCTAACATAATCACATACATACATACAGACATAAATATGTATAAATATAAAAGAAATGTGTTTTAGTCGTACGCGTAATCGAATTGCATTTTAGATCAACGAAATCGTAATTGCAAATATTTTCAGAAGAAAATCATTTAACATTTGAATGGTCTATCAAGTTATAATTAAATAATTAAATCTCTTCTTTTATTTTTTTCTTTGCAGTCCTGTCGCAGAGACGTTTAACAAAGTGCTAAATGTGCTCGACGCCGCGGCGTTTTGGTGATCGCTGCGCAGCAATAATAGACTGATGATCAAAGTAGGAGATCAATATGCTTCTTTATTTGCAAAAGTACCGTTACGTAAATAAGACAAATATGTATGTGTCTACGAGCGTATTTATAGGTGTAGTGTAAAAGGCAAATGCACACGAGACTAGACATTCTTCGACGAATCTTCGATTGATTATTGCAACAAACGGAAAAAAAGAGAATTTGCGAATTTGCAGAATTAAAAAAAAGAAAAACAGCAACTAAGTGAAGTAAAAGAAAAATGCACGAACTCTTCACAAAAGTGCTCTCCAAACGTGATTTATCCCGTGCTGGCGATTTATTTTCGGTGCCAGATTCCGAAATCGTCAATGATATAAGCGAAGTGGTAAGTAGATGTATGCATTAGGGTGGTCCTTAAAAATATCAGCATCTAAATTTTTTATGGCGCACCACTTTATTTTGTTCAACCTAAAGACAAGCACAAAAATTTCAAAATTTTTAGGGCTATTTGAAAAAATTTTAATAAAAAAATTTTTACTTGAAATCTGATAAATTTGACTTATCATTAAAATTTATTCATATATAAACTCATAAACTCGCTGAGTTATAGCTGGTTAAACCCAACATTTGGTCGAGTTTTTGTGATTTAAAAAATGCATTTTTTTGCAAAGCCTGGTAGCGACTCCGAATTTTTTTTTTTTTATTTTAAAATTTTCGTGCATATCTTTATTTTGCACGTAGAATATACAAAATTTAGAAATAGATATTTTTTAAGGACCACCCTAATATATGTACATATAAACATAAATACATAGCCAGTATTTAAAAAAAAAACGTCTTAAATTAATTATCCTTCAATCAATGTACAGCTCTCTGACATCAGTCCGATTATTTCACATCCGGACTATTTAAAAAACAACAATGATCAGTCTGTGGTGGAGATTTGTGTTACACGTGTGCTCTCTTGCATACGTGAAACGAAAACTGCTGAACGTTATTGCGCCGCATTGGTAGATTTGTTGCGGACGTGCCTATTATGGAATCTTCAGCCAGCTGGCTCGGCCAAAGAGGAACCTCCTCATGCAAAAATTGCCGCTGATATTATTTCAAGTATATTTTTGGTGAGTAAATATGCAGTTACATATAAACTTTTATAGAATAACTAATCGCTCTTTGATTTGTGCATGATGAGTGTCAAAGGACACTATCATATTCTTCTTCTTAAGTGACCAAAAAAAACTTTACTAATTGGCATTCTCATTTGCAAAGTTGCTCCAATTTTACTTCCCGTATACAGACAGGCGCTTCTGAACTTGCTTCTCCCATTGTTTCCGTGGTAAGCCTTTCTATCATTGTCCACCCATTGGTGCCGAATCGAAGGATCTTTTCACTGGAGCATTGTCATTCAGGAGTAAAACTTAGACAAGCCAGCGCAATGGCTGTATTTTTGTCCATAAGCCCTTACGATTTGTCGTTCCATCGCCCTCGCGGACAGGGCCATCGATTTTGTGTAGAATATTTCTCTCGAAATCCCCCAAAGCCTTCTCCTCATTGTTCGAGTTCGTCCATCTATCTCCACATAAAAGGCTGGCTCTGATGAGAGATTAGCAGAGATGGCCCTTTGTTCGTCTAGAGGGAGCTCTACGTCTAAGTTGTCTTCCGAGGCCAAAGCAGCCCTTTTGACAAATGTTCTTTCTGAATCCTTGATCTCCAGGCTCACATTATTTGTGCTGCTAAACAGCCAACAGTGACGTGGTCAGCCAGTGGCCGGTTAAGACTTCACCCGGTATAGAATAAGTTCCCGTACTTACTTTCAAAAACACTCTCCACTATTCTCAAGCGGAAGTCTTAGACCCATGTACGCAACTGTGTCCGAATTCCCTATATTATTTCACATACATATGTATGTATTCATCATTATTTCTCGCTTCCTCTTACAGAACTATGATAAAAAGGAGCTGATGAAAATATCACTGCCGGTGGCAGTGCAATTCCTGCCAAAAGGCAATCGTGAATTGTCTCGAAATTTAGCGAGCTATCTTTCTTTGGCAGCTATAGACTATGCATACCTGCTAAGTCCACATGTGTCATCGATTATGGACTCGATTATGGCTGGTGAGAAAGTTACACTTTTTAAATAAAAAACCAAGTTTGGTAATAAATTTTTCCATATTTATATTTAATTCGCAGGTAATTTCGGCTTACTACGCGTGCTTTCACAAATTTACGAAGTCTCTCCAGATGAAGTGTCGCCACATGCACCACTGTTGGTGACGCTGCTGCCACAATGCGACTCACAAGAGAAATTGGCAGTGCTACAACTATACCTACTCATTGCGCAAAAGACGCCAATGGTGAGTACAAACCATCATTGCAATCAACCAAACTTAAAATAAAAAAAAAAATTAAATTAAAAATCTCCAATGTACATATGTCTTACCTACGCACATATTTAGGTTCTCGAGAGCTGTGTGCCACGCCTATGCGAATTGCTGTTCGACAATGAAACTGCCGCAATAACAATGCAAATTTTACTTAAAATCTCTGAGCAACGTCCCCTACTCATCGTTGAACATAGCGAGAAAATCAAAGCAGCCAGCAAAGCAAATCCAAATACGGTTTACTTGGCTGCACAAACGCTCGCCTCGGCCGGACGTACTAGCAAGGCGCATGCGCAGTACGCACTCGACTTTGTTTTGGAACACTTGCCACATGCAGATCGCACATCACAAACGAATCTACTACAAGAAGCCACCAAGTTATGCTCATCATTTCCCATACTGTTCACCGATAAAGTGCTCGCTTGCGTGCGGCAAAAGAACGCGCTCAGGTGAGTAGAGTCATGCGTAGAATTTTTCGTAGAAACTAAGCCAACTTCATACATTTTTAGTCAACAGAAACTCTCGACATCCGATATCAATGTGGATACTAGTACTAAGATGTCAGGCGGCGTAACCATAGTGAACCTGAACAGTCCGATTGATCCGCCACCGCCAACACCAACAGCCGCCGCAGCAGTGGTGGCAACTGTACTCAATACCGTAGCAGCCAATAATTCGAGCGCATCCAATGCCTCAGCCACATCGATACCAATCACTGCCGAACCAGCTTCCAGCGCAGCAACCGTTTCGGTGGCAGCCGCCACAGCCACCACAGGTCGCATGCATAAAAGCAAAAATAAGAGTCGCAGTAGTCCTAGCAGTCCGAAGGATGGTAGCCGCAAGGCATTACTCGGTGGCAACCTGAAAATATGTGAGCACTTGCGATCACGTATGTATTTAATTTAGCATTTCTGTAATTGATTACCACATTCCATTAGCAACGACACAACCAACGACGGGCGTCGCAACCAACACAACTGTCATACAACAGAGCAACAATGCAGCTTTGGCCGGCGCGGCTGCTCCAGTGCCTCCCACGCCGCCGCATGCCGGTTATACGCGTCGCGTTAAACTCGGCGATTCGCGCAGTACTGGTCGCCTGCATCCAACCGGTAATACGCATCGCAGCATGACACGCCTCAATGTCGCCGGCGGCTCAGTGGGTGGTCTTCATAAGAGTATGACGCGCCTTAGCTCCTCTCAGCATATCAATCAGAATGGCGGTTCCAGTTCCAACAATGCCAACAATTCACAATCTAGCGGCAATGTGGTGGTGCAAACAGCCACCGGCGCCAGTACGACAACGGTGGGTACGGGAGCAGCACCCAAAACTCCAACCAGTCCCAGCTGTCCAGGATATGTGACACCTGTGCCGCCATTGAGCAATAATGTCATTATAACGGGTCACAATAAGTGGGGTATTCCATCGACGCAGGTCACTTCGGGTGGCGTCACAGTGACTACATCTCCCACAAAAGTTAGACCGCATTCGCAAGGGCCCACAACGTTACTTAACTCGAGTACTGCTTTGTTGAAGTACAGCACCGATGCGCTGAATCAATCAATTGGTGAGTAACAATCGGGGAGAATTTATCAGATCTCATGATACAAGGCAAGTTGTACCTAAATGCTTAAAGTTTAGAAAGAGTTTCGACTATTTATGAATTTAAACAACATACAGACGATGCTCCGATGTCTCTCCGTATTCAAAACAAATATGGCATTAGGCCTCTGGTGTCACGCTGATACGGTGCATGAGATAGCGCAGATGATTAACTCAAAGGGGGGGAAACTGATGTTTGATCTATCCAAAAATGTATTACAGTAAAAGAGCCCGCCTATCTGAGAACCAAATCACTCCACAGTACTTACTACATTAAGGTTTTTTCACTCAAAATTTCGGAGCCTCGAAGTAGACCAACCGAGTCCGCAAGCTTAAATCGATCCGCAAGGGCTGACTATGCGCCTTACATTTCTAGTTCGAACCACTTTTCTTGTACATCGCAGTGACCTGGTACAAAGTATAGTATTACCAGTACCATTTTTATCGTTCAATGAGTTAAGGAGTAACAAAGCCTTACTTGACTAGCTTGGATGTGATCATTGTTCCATACAAAGTATGTTCCACATTTTTTTTTTATGACAGGAAATGGTAACACCATCAGCAAAAAAAATATCAAAAATCAGCAGGACTATTTAGCAACTTCAAACTTCCACTTATAATACTAGAATTAGATAGACTATAAAACTGCATATCTAGATTTTTTGCGAGTTTTTTTTTTTTATTTTTCTACAATGTGGATTTATATGACATTCTTTATATACATAAGGAGCCAGACATTTATAAAAAATTAATTAACATTTTTTTTATTATTACCAACCATCCGCACAAAGGGCGTAGTACCGCATGACGTACGGAACCTCTATTTTAAATTTTTGCGCCAAGTCTCGAAAGACCGGAGTTTGTTAAGTATCGGTATCTAAAACTATTCTATTACAGAGCCAAATTCATCAGTTGATTATTATGTCTTTATGTTAGTCAATCATTTTTTAGAGAGAAAGAAAAAGCAAAACTGTTAAAAATGGCCTGTACCTATTATTATGGCCACGGGTGTATATGAGATCAAGGTGAGAGAATCATTTTGATCAGACGACTTTGTGTGGAATTTTGTGCTGGAATTTTCTGTCCGAAAAGTTGTATTTTAGCGTGGAGTCAGAAAAACCTTGATCGCTCCGACCCTGGTATTAACAAAAAATATTTTTCTCTCGCCGGTTTTTGTGAAGAGTGCCAGCAAAAATTTAAGTTAGATATCTAAATTCCAATCCAACTACACCTTCAATGCATTCTACGGCGTTCCTGAAACCTTGGACTAATTTTGAGAAAAAAATGTGCACTGTGAATCAAATTTGTTCAAGAGGTATATTTATTTTTTTGGTGTTGGTTGACTTTTCCGACTGGGTGGTCAGATGATTTGTTTTGGATCGAATTTGTGTCATTTCTTGTCAAGTTTGGCTTGGAGACAAGCTAAGATTTTAAATAAGCGGATTCCAATTCCAAAAAACAGTCAGACTGAATTTACATTTAAGTCGCAGCCTAAACAGCCAAGTACAAATCTTCGGTGCCATTTCAAAAACGAAAATCTTCGCTGCGTTTTTCTTTAAATTAAAACTGTTTAAATATTTGTTCTTTGAATTATTCTTCGCCACAAAAAATTACTTAAGTCCGCATATATGTTTGCTGAAGTAAAAACTAACGCAATAATTTCCACTGCAGGTTCAATTTCCATACCACAAAATCCGGTTTCGGTGCATCATGCATCGCCAGCGTTGCCGCAACAGAATAACGGCAATCAAAAGTCTGTGATGAAGCTGCCCGTGAATGGAAATGTAAGTTACAGTCTCTGTTGTACAACATGGCGTATGAGTATCCAATGCTAAATATTGCGCCACGCCAAATGTTACGCATACGCACCGACTAACAAGAATTTAAATTTTTCCGCAGAGCACACACGAAGTGATCGTCTCCGGCCCAACAACTAATATGACGCCACGTCGCAACAACAACAACACCAGTCGCACGCTACTCAACGCCAATAATAGCTGCATTTTAGATCAACGCATGAGCACATTCGAGCCCTATCAGATTATGCGCGACCCAGTACAGCAATTTTGTGAAAAACATTTCGGTTCGATTAAATCGTACATGGATGAGGTATCACAATCGCTGCCGCCGCCAACGCGTTGTAGCATTGAAGGTAAGCAGAAATAATTTTTTGTTTTTCTTTTTTTGAGACTTTGCATGAAACCAAAAATACACACACATACATACATAACATACATGTTAACATAATACTTACATACTTGCATAAATATCCAGCTAAACACTTCATACACACAAGTAAACGTAATTGTTTATGTCATTCATCATTTAAAATAGCAAGCATGCATTTAATTGATTTTTATCGTCGTCATGTCTCTGACGTTCTCTCTTTCTTTTTCTTTTTATCCAAAATCCGTGCCTTATTTGTATTTATGGTTTTTTTTTTGTTTTAACCTTTATTTTAAAATTTGTATAATTTTCATCTTCTGCATTTTCTCCTCTCCTTTTTTTTGGATTTCCTCTTCAAACTGCACTGCTGTAATGTCTCTCTTTCATCTTTATACGTATGTATGTATGTCTCCTCCTTTGTCGTCCGCCTCTACAAACATCAACAACGACAACAACTATCGCTGTTTCTATCCCTCTTTCTCCCACGTCTGGTATTTACGTCAAAAAGTTTCGAATGAATTTGCAGAGCGTCGCACAAAGAAAGTAGCCAAACTGCACTTCGCCTGCCAAATACGCGGCCCCCATTGTATGTACTCGAAGACCTGCTTTACGATGCGCACGCGCAACCCTAAAACCTGGATACATTTAATGTTTTTGGACTTTCAAGTGCGACACTATGTAAGTGGGGGGAAAAGATATTTTGCGATAACGTTTCGTTTGTTTTCTAAATTTAAATTTATGAATTTTAGGTGAAGGAAAAAACTGTTTTAAGTACACGCGAGCCCGGCATTAGCAATTTGAAGAATATCTGGCAAATACTCAAGTGCGAGAATCGCAGTTTCACAGAATTAGTCACCAGTCAGTTTCCGAATGCAAAGGTTTGTTTGTTTTATTGTAGATTTACAAAGGTTTGTACTAACTTATCAATACATATATATGTATGTATGTATGTACATCTCTCTGCGTTAAGCCCATTGCAGCTGTGAACTCGCAGCTGAGTTAATTTGTAAAACTATTGTTTTGCATGCAACGTCAGTGCTATCGGTAATATATCGATAACATAATCGATAAAACATCGTTAACAAATTCGATAAGTTATGGATAACATAATCGATAAGTATGTATATCGATAACATATCGAAAAATATATCGATACGAAACCTGCAAAAAACATTTATAACGATAAATACTCTTATGCATGTATATCGATAAATATTAAAAAATAGACAAGTATCTACCACTGTGGCAATAAATGCATAGATAAATTTATCGATTAACATAGTATGTATGACTTTAGGGTAGTCCTTAAAAATCAGAAGAAGGATACAGTACAGATTCGTCTATATAAACTCAAAAAATTAAATTTTTTTGCATCTAATACTGATAGTCGAAGATATCACATATAAATTTGGGTCACGATTGGAGTTGTTTAAGGCGTGTCGCAAAGAGGTAAAAGATGCCTCTAAGGACTGAAAAAATTAAATTAATTTTTTTTTTCATTTAATGCCCAAATCGATACAACTGAGGTCGAGGATATCACATAAAATATTTAGTTTCGATTGATTGTGGTTGAGGCTTGAAAAATCTTATGTAAAAATTTGCTTCCTACATTTAAGGACTACCCTAATGTACTTGCATTTATTCACATGTTTGAGGCCGTGAGAACAGAAGTGGCCTAACCAAAATTTTTTTTGTTGTACCTACCTTCTTAAAAAATTTTCGAACTCCAAGCTAAAACAACTCCAAGCCAAATAAATTGCACAATGTCTAAGAAAGTTGTTGCATCCTCTGGCACTTATAACATTTCCTGTAACTAATTATTTTGAATTTATCAAGTTTGCGTACCACTGAATAGAAACGGTTAGAAATAAAACAGCATTTTTATTTGTTGTTGCTTTTTGCATCAAAATATAATTCTTTTTTTTTTTTAAGTGGACTTAGCAAGCTTTTCACTCTAAGCTAGCGATGTGTTCATTACTACTTCTCTTCGTTCATTCCTATTTTTCTTTATTCATTACCATTTTCCTTCCGAAGGACCGTGAAATACTCGTCAACGAATTACGCCATTCCGGCTTCCTGGACGTTTTCGAGGTATCCAAAACAGACACAACCAATCCAAATTGCAACGAGTTGGAATATCAATGGGGCTGCCTGCTGTGTAATCATCCCGATAAAGCAG